ATATATATATATATATATATATATATATATATATATATATATATATATATATATATAAAGGCAGATGAAATCTCGATCGTTTCGGCGTATTTCGGCCTACCAAAATGCACTGCTTCCGGGTCGGCAGGCTATTCTTGCCTAATAAACAGGCATAAGGCAAACAAGCAATGTGATCATCTTTCATCTTTGGTTTTCTTTTATAGAAAGCCATAGCTAGCGTAAGTGATCAAACGGCATTTTCTCGATACGCAGTGGTTCGAGCGTTATACGCGGTGCTTTCGCTATTATACGCAGTGGTTCGAGCACTATACGTGGTGCTTTCGCCATTTAATATACGCGGTGCGTTCGCCATTATACGCAGTGGTTCGAACATTATGCGCGGTGCTTTCGTCATTATACGGGGTGCTTTTAACAAAATTTCCATATTCTTTCCATGTAACTATATAATCTTACGATTACTTAAAGGACATTGGCAACCAAAATTTTTATTACTTATATCTATTAGGTATACTTACGGAATATTTAATTTCATATTTTGGCCGGTTTGTCGCGTTTAGTTGCTAAGAAAATTTGATTGAATATTGAACAGTTGTCCGCCATTTTGAAAATAAGCGCGTATGCTAATTTATGCCACAAAATACATTATCTGACGTCATTGGCTGGGTAAACACAATCTCATGACTATAAACAATACAGTGTATTATAAACAATACATTTTGAGCCAAAACAAAAGGCAGAAAAGTTTTACCAAGTATGTAACTTGTTTGTAACACTATTTCTCATAGTATATATCCTACTCCGTGTTAAATAAGCGCAGAAATTCGAGTGTAACAAGGCAAATACTAATGCAATATTTTATGACCAATTACCTGCATTGTAAATTGCGCCATTTCTTGCTTTCCCGGTTGCTCGATATGTTTTTATCTGATAGTGTAGACTTCTCTTGTTTGATTGCGAAGAGTGTTGGTCAGTATAACGCTCAAAACGGCATATTTTTAGCTAACATAACACGCACGCAACAGAATTCTCTCTTGTAGTTTTGGTGCTACCCAGCCAATGACGTCACAAAGTTCATTGACCTTCGAGATAATTTTTCGAAAATATTTTCCAGGATGGCGGCGAAACTGGCCGAAACACAAAGTTTGCATGCATTTTACTCGTAGACTAAAATGTTCAAGAAGGAAATGATAATATTTTCATAGTTCGGTTGTCAAGTAGGATTGAAATAGCCAATAAAAATTTTCGTTGCCAACTCTTTTCGCTCTTTTCGATTGGGGGGCGGGG